ATCTTTTGGGTCGCAATAAAGCACTTTAACCATGGTGCCACCATGGCTTCTCTGAGCCAGCCCATATAAATATGTAGTTGTAGTTGCTGGTGTTATTACGTGCCACTGAGTCAGTTCTGACCCATAGAGACCCATATGGTTTCCAAGGAGCAACTGGTGAGCTTGAACCTTGTAGTTCAAACCGACTTTGCAGTCCAGCGCATTAACCCACAGTGCCACATCAGTACTCAATAAATGTGTAGATGTCTAGCTAAATGTATGAGTTTCGGAAGCAAGTAATTACATATTCCATTAAGAAAGGAAGATTTGAACAATGGCTAATTCTTTATCCTACAAACAATGTTATGTGTTCAACAAATACTTACTGAAAAAGTATTTTGTGACCAACAAAGTACTTAATCTAAATACAAGTAAATAAAACTTGCTCCTGTATATCCCCTTCCTCTAATAGAGGAAAAGGAAATAGCTTGTACCTACACTATGCCGGTTCTTACATCTCAGCAGTCTCTCCAACTGGTGGTTTCTTAGAAGCCAGGATAGCAAGACTTTGTCTCTCATACTTAGGAGAAGTTATCAGGCGGAACCAGTTCCTGGAGAAGGATATCATGGTTGGTAAAGTGGAGGGTCAGCAAAAAAGAGAGACCCCCCCAACGAGATGGGATGACACAGTGGCAACATTATGGGCTCAATTGTGAAGATGGCACAGGATCGGGCAGTGTTTCATTCTGTTGTGCACAGCGTCACTATGAGCTGGAACTCACTCAAGGGCACCTAACACAGCAACAACAACAAAACAAACTGGTAGCACTGTAGGATTAACACTGGACTGCTAACCACAAGGTCAGCAGTTCAAACCACTAGCTGCTCTGACGGACAAAGACACAGCTTTCTGCTCTTGTAATGATTTACAGCCTCAGAAACATTATACAGGGTTCCTCTAAATCAGAGCAAACTTGATGGCTGTGAGTTTGTTTTTTTTTAAATACTTTACTGTCCAGTAAACCAGGGATCTCCATTTTCTGATGAATACATTGAGACTTTTAAAGAGATTGGGTACTTGTCTCAGGTCATGTAAATAATTACTGCAAATCAAGAACTGAAATCCAAATGTGTTGGACCCAAAATCTGTGTTCTCTCCAAAAACAGCCTAACAGTATTATTATTTCATTAGTTTACCAACACAGAGAATGGGTTTCTTTTCAAGGTTAACTAAAAACAGGTTAAAAAAAAAAAAAAAAAAAAACCCACTCAGTAGATCCTCACAACAATTTATTAAGTAAGTGTATTATTATGCCAAGGTGTTCAAATCTACCATCATGACGTGGAAGAAAGATGAGGCTTTCTGCTCCCGTAAAGATTTACAGCCTTGGAAACCCTCAACGGCATACAACTACCACTATCACCACCATTATTATGCCAGGAGCCCTGGTGGCACTGGAGGATAAGCACTGGACTGCTAAACTCAAGATTGGCAGTTCAAACCCACCAGCTGCTTACCGAGAGAAAAAATGAGACTTTCTGCTCCTGTTAAGATTTATATCCTCAGAAACCCTATACAGGGTCACTGTGAGTCAAAATTGACTTGATGGCAGTGAGTTTGGGGTTATTTGTTTTGTTTTGTTTGTATTATTATGCCAGGGCTCCCTGCAGGAGGAAGTGGTTATTTGTTGGTACATTTGAAAACACCAAAAAGATGGTGGCTTGAATCCACCCAGAGGTGCCTCAGAAGAAATGCCTGACTAGCTTCTGAAGACCACAGCCATGAAAACCCTATGGAATGCAGTTCTACTCAGCATCACTTGGCATTGCCATGACTAGAAACTGACTGGACTAGCAACTGGTTAGGGTTTGATTTTTTTAAATTGTTGTTCCATTATTACTTGGTTGCTAACTAAAATATCAGAGGATCAATCTCACCAGATGCTGGGGGTGGGTGGGGAATGTAGCAGTCTGCTCCCATAAATATTACAACCTTGGAAAAACTCTGAGTCAGTTCTACTCTGTCCTATGGGTCGCTATGAATCAGAATAGACTAGAAGGCAATGGGACTACATGGGATGATCCATTATAGATGCAGCTAGAACTTGGAAAATTAGCGTATGCAACAACAGACTGCTAGGAAGTAGTAGAACTATACTAGGTCTGTACCAGGTGTTAATAAATCATTGGGTTGTTGTTGTGAAGTGCCATCGAGTCAGTTCTGACTCATAACAATCCTGTATGGGGTCTCTGAGGAGCTGCTGGTGAGTCTGAACTGTAGACCTTGAAGTTCAAACAGACCTCATGATCGAGTCCTTATCCTACAGTACCACACCAGGACTGCAACACTGGATTACATGAAAAAAAAATGAAGAAAGACCTCAACCTACATACTCAGTTGTTAAGCTTAAATTCCAAAACATCTAAAATAATCAGATCTTGTTTTTATTAAGAGGAACAGAAGGTATCATTAATTTCACTCCTACCTTAGTAGCTAATGTGTTGTTGTTGTTAGGTGTCAATGAGTCAGTACCAACCCACAGCAACCTTATGCACAGCACAACGAAACACTACCGAATCCTGAGCCAACCTCACTACTGTTGCCACACTTGAGTCCATCGATGCTGCCACTTGGCTAATCCATCTCGTTGGGGGTCTTCCTCTTTTTCTCTGACCCTCCTTACCAAACATGATATCCTTCTCCAACAACTGGTCCCTCCTGATAGTATGTCCCATGTATGAAAGATGAAGTTTGGCCATTTTGGCCTCCAAGGAGCATTCTGGCTGCACTTCTTCTGGAGGAGACTATTGAAAGCTAATGTGTACAAGATTTTATTTCAACTAATAGAAGGAGCTCTGGTAGCGTAGTGGTTACGAATCGGGCTGTGAGCCGCAAGGTCAGCAGTTCGAAACTACCAGCGTTCCGCGGGAGAAAGGTGAGGCGGTCTGCTCCCGTAAAGATTTACAGCCTCGGAAACCCTGTGTAGGGTCGCTATGAGTCGAAATCGACTCCACGGCACATAACAACAACAACAACAACAAATAGCAACCCTACAGGACAAAGTAGAACTGTCCCAAAGGGTTCCCTAGGCTGTAATTTTTATGGGGGAGTCGTGGTGTAGCACTGCCAGCTGCTCACCAGCTGCTCCTTGGAAACCCTATACAGGCTGCTATGAGTCGGAACTGACTCTAAGGCACTTGAGTAACAACAAATCTTTCTCTGAGCAAATTACCAGGCCTTTTCTCTCTCATTTCAGCTGGTGGGTAGAACTGCTGGCCTTTCATTCAGTTAGCAGTCTAGAGCTTAATCATCGAGCCACCATGGCTCCTACTTTTAAAGATAATAAATTCATTTTTTTAGTAATATATTTATTTACAGAAACTTAAAGATTAGCCTCTAAACTTCAAATTTACTGGCTATTCCACTATAGCTAGCTGGCAGAATTTGTTACAAGTTAAAACTACTCTTAAAGTAGCAAGTACTATACAATTTCACAAAGCAAAAGTTCATAAAGAACAAACAAAATGTTAAAGACAAAGTATTTATTTGAAATACTTTCTCAGGAACAGATGAACAGAAGTCTTTCTCTGCAACATGTTCATTGTATTCTATGGAAACTACTTTGTCTATTTCTTGACACAACAGTTAGAAAGAGCTCAGGTGCTAACCCAAAGGTGGTTGGTTATGTTCTAACCCACCAGGCAGTGGGAGAAATGTGGCAGCCCTAGAAACCCTACAGGCAGCTCTACTCTATGAAGTCACTGTAATGAAATCAACTCAATGGCCATGGGGTTAGGTATGCTTTGTTTTGTTTTCTAAGTATGAAACAAAAGAGAGATGTTTCCAAAACTAGTTCAGTTTAAAAAAAAAAAAAAGTTTAGTCTTACTATACAGTTCTATTTATCATAAATGCAGAGTAACGTTTTCTTTTAAGACTGGCCAAGGCATATTCCTAAGCAACTGTCCCGTCTATTTTTGATAAACCAAAATGATGGTTGAGTATTAACATACAGTATGAATAAATGTTTTTCTTTACTCACATTTTACAAAAATAAACAAATGAATATAAGCACACTATAAACCAGAATCCAGAAATAAACAAAATCATTCTAATGAATACCCAGCCACTTGATAGTGTCACTCCATGTTTGTTCACAGATTCACACGGACTGTCTTCATCCCTCAACCTCATAAAGAATACCAGTTTGTCAGGCAGCAGCCGCTGCCCCATCCTCACATCACTGTGGGCCTTTTAGAACCATGCCTAAAAGGTAAACAAGTACAGAATGTGACTGGTCCTGGAGCACGGAGGGCACTGTTTACTTACACGGGAAGATACTCATGCAGTGATGGGGAAACAGGTTGCACTATCATCCTCTTAGTTTTTATTTTATAAAGGTAAGTCGACAAGCTATTGTGAGAGTGGGGCTAGAATTCCCAAAAGTTTTGACCTCTCTTTGTAATCGTTTAAGGGCAAGCGCTCAAATGAGGGCATTCCATACAAGGTGCCCCGAGGTGCTGCGTATGGCATAACCTGGAATGACATCACTTTGCTCAAGAAACTGCCTTCTTACCCTACTTACTCCCCACAGTGAGCTACAAGGGGTACCGTCATTCACGCCAATGAAGGAAAAGAGAATAAATCAAAACCAAACGCGCTTCCTTCTCGTCCCCTATGAGGTTTGAGCAAAACTAAAGGCTTAAACTGCGGTTCCAAATCAACACCAGGCCTCCACCGCCTCCGCACCCGCAGGCACGGCTACAGTGCAGAATCATTAACACCTCCACCTCTGTCCTCCAGGCACAGCCAGGCACTCTGTCCCAGAGCCCGCCCCGGCCGGGCCCGCCCCGCTATCTCCTCCCCCGTTATCCGCTCGCAGCCGCGCTCGGGCCTGAATTCGCCTCCCCAACTTCAGCACGTTCCACGGCCCCACACAAGCAGGCCAGCAGCCTCCGAGAGTCTGAGGGAGAAAAGTAGGGGGGGCACCGGGAGAGAAATATGTTCAGCGCAGTTCCTCACCTCGGGATGGAGAAGGGGAACACAGCCCGCTTCGGTATCGTACTCATCCGGGCCGTCCGCCATCTTGGTGTTAAATCCCTCCTCCCGCTGCATGCCGGGAGAAAGCGTTTCGCCCTCGCGGAGCTGGGGCTAGGCGGAGGGCGAGCGCGAGCCCCGCCGGAGGCTACGCGACAGCCACCTCCTCCTTTCCCTCCCCCCGTGACGCCCCTTTACCCCCTCTTCTCTCCGAGGGCGCGGGTCCCTACGCGCGTGCGCGCAAGAGCTGGTTGGCCCCGGGCGGGAGCGCGCTCTGCTGCACTGCGCCGGGGCGGACAACCTCTCGGGGCGTGGGCGTCGCGGCTCCTGGGCGGGTCTCCAGCCAAAGGCAGATGTGCGCCTCTGGACTCTTAGTCTAGGAGGCGGCGGGACGATTAGGACGTGAACTTGGAAAACCTAGTGGCGACGAGGGAGTGTGAAGGATACCCATATCCAAAGTCCGGAGCCTCGGTCAGCTGAGGCAGCCCCGACACGCGACCCCACTTTCTGTTTGAGGGACTCCGAAGAGAACCAGAGAAACCATCACCCGGCTCCCGGGAGAAGTTTTGGGCTCTCTTGTTTGAGGACGGGAGAAGCACCCCTGTTCTCCACACTCAATAAAGGTCACCTGCAACCTACGCCCCAAAGGAGGGGAAGGGAACCGCGGATAAAGCTTGGGATTTCCTACGGGAGAAGTCTTTTCTTTAATGATCGCAACCTTGTTGATCTTGAATTAACACTAACCACATTATAAAAAAATTATGTGCTCCTGAACCCACACCCCATCTACTATATAGTCTTTTTAACCCAGGGGCTCGGAATTGAAGTAATTTAAAGGGAATCCGCTGAAATGCTAATCAGAAAAATGGACTCAATTTTTAAAGCATATTAAGACCTATTATCAGGAGAAGGATAAAATGGAGGGTTGGGGGAAAAGAGGAAGACCCCCAGTGAAATGAACTGGCAGAGTGGCTCAGGTGTAGCAACGATTGTGAAATTGGTCCAAGACCTGTCAGTGTTTCTTTCTGTTATTAATAGGGTTTTTATGAGTTGGTACCGACTCGATGGCACCTAACAACAACATCAACAGGACTGTATGACTAGGGGCGAATTTGCTTTCTAATAGCACAATTTTCTAAAGCATTCATCTTCAATTTGAGCTATTAAAAATCGTGACACTGCTCAGCAATATTTAGCAGAGATCATGAAGCAGTCTGCGACAGTTTCTGACACTAAGCACTAAACTGTCCCGTGTTAAACCAAATCATACAAAAATCATCAGGAACAAGCTTGTAGTACGACACCATCACTTATTTATTCATCAGGAGGAAGCTTGGAATGCTAGTGACTAGAGGAAGGAAGAAGCATTTTTGTGTAAAGTTTGGGTTCCCGCCAAAGGACTGTTAGGGGGGTCAAGAGAGCTGGAATCCATTCTGGATTGGACGAAATTTCTGAGGCAGGATTAAGAGAAACGGGGATTAAGTAGGGATTTGGTGCTGTCATTAGGCGAGGGTAGTTTAGTAATTGGGTATCCCAGTTACAAATGAAACAAAACAAAACAGGCCTGGAGCATTATTGGTTAGAGGGCAATAACCACTCAAGGGAGGGGTCAGAGTGCAGCTGCACTGAGAGAAACAAACTTCTCTGTTCATTTTGCAGCTGGGTTTATTTGTGTCTGCCCTCCCAGTAATGCTGCTTTTTATCTTTTCAGTCCCAATGGTTTTCATTCTTTTGATCCAGAATAGATTTGTACTCTTTCACCCATCATATAGAACTAGCAAGAGTCAGAGTTGTGCCTTTGGGGTACCAAATTGCTTTCCAGACACATGTTAATATGAACAGAAATAATGTTTACTTCAATATGTCTAGCTCCTTTTTATCCCTTCCTCCTGGTATGCCGCTGCAACATAATGCACTTGGCTGCAAGGTTGGTATGAACCACAAGGTTGCTGATTCAAGCCCACCGAACGCTCCTCGGAAACCCTAGACAGGGTCAGTATCACGTCACCGACTTCATGGCATTTAACAACAACTCTTATGTCATGAGTAGAAAGATGAGTGTAATGAAAGGAAACAGCGAAAAAGTTGGGATATGGTGTAAAGAAAATGCTAACTGTGAAGGACTAAAGCAATAATTATACAGGAGTCCTGGTGTGGCGCTGTGGGTTAATGCACCAGACTACAAAGCCATTTGAACTGCAAGGTCGGTGGTTCAAGCTCACCAGCTGCTCCTCGGAAACCCTATACAGGGTCACTGTGGGTCGTAATCAACTCAACAGCACTTCACAACAACAAAGCACTATAGAGTCTCTATGAGTCGGAATCATTACTCCATGAGTCAAAATCATTCTAATCATTCAACCTATGATATAAATGCAAAGGTTGGGAGCAAAGAGGAGCATCAGTAGTTGGAAAATATGGCCTTGGAGATAGAAATGATGCTGGAGATCGCATGATAGAATTCTGCAAATTCAATGATTTATTCAAATACCTTCTTTAGACAGCATAAGAGATAACTATAGGAGTCCTGGTGTGGCGCTGTGGGTTAATGCGCCAGACTGCAAAGCCGTTTGAATTGCAAGGTCAGCAGTTCAGGCTCACCAGCTGCTCCTTGGAAACCCTATACGGGTCACTATGGGTCAGAACCGACTCAATGGCAATTCACAACAACGCAACATACACATGACCTCACCAGATGGAATACATAGAAATCAAATTGACTACATCTGCGGAAAGAGAGGATGGAAAAGCTCTATATCATCAGTCAAAAGGCCAGGGGCAGATTGTGGAACAGACCATCAATTGCTCCTATGTAAATTCAAACTGAAGCTGAAGAAATTGAAAACAAGTCCACAAGAGCCAAAATATGACCTTGACTATGTTGTTCCTAAGTGCCATAGAGTCGGTTCTGACCCAGAGCAACCCTGTATAGGGTTTCCAAACAGCAGCTGGTGAGCTTTAACTGCCAACCTTTCAGTTCAAACAGCTTTGCAGTCTGGCACATTAACCCACACGCCACACCAGGACTCCTTGACTATATCCCACCTGAATTTAGAGATCATATGAAGGAGATCTGGTAGCGTAGTGGTTACGAATCGGGCTGCGAACCGCAAAGTCAGCAGTTCGAAACTACCAGCTGTTCCGTGGGAGAAAGATGA